CAGTATTATAGTAATTAAATATTCGTTTAGTTATCACAAAAACTCGTTCTATTTTGTTGTAGATCATTAAACAGGTACGCTTCCTCAGAAGCCTGTCCGAAATCAGTTTCATGAGGTGCCTTCATGCATAAACGCTGCCTGCAAAGTCATTGCCTCATACGGCAGGGAGGCAGCAAGGTGTTCCACAAACACGGGTGGAAGGCTGAGTTTAGATTAAGCGCTTCCCTCTGCTGGCTGAAATTATTCACTGCACAGAAATTATATACTGTACGTATGGCTACTGTGTAAAAATGTTTTTTTTTAGTGAAAATATTTAATTTCAATTTAATACATCACAGAACATCCAGAGTATTTTTTTGTAAATCCCTGTTGCTTTTTATTACAACAATATAACATACTTTTTATGGTAATATGGTCATTTCATCTAATCTAATAATATCCAATCTTACCCGCCACATGTTGAGGTTTCATAGGCCCCGCCTTCATCATGAACGGTTCCCCTCCCTCAAAGGCCATGATTGGGTCAGCAGGTTGGCCCTGCCCACTGAACGCCATTAATGATGGGTGCCGCGTCCCAGGACACAGAGCTGAGGAGGAAACATGGGTATAATTCTCATCTTTTTGTCAGATAGCTGACAACAACAAAACATGCAAAACATCTCTTTGTACATTTCAAATCAGGCCGAATTGTGCAACTTTACCTCGTTTTCACGTCTCCTTGTGATTGGTTAAAATTTGTCGCACCACTATGAAGAGTTTCTGAAGGATTTTTCTGAATTACTGCAAGACAAGAGAATAACAGCATTACATTTTTCATTTAAACTTAAATTTTAAATTTAATTGTAAAATGTATTTTTAAGTGTAAAGCCTCGTACACACCGCGACGATTATCGCGCGCGCTTATCGCCAACGTTTTTCAACGCGTCTTTTGTGTTCATACACAAGCGATTTTCGCAGGCGATGAGCCGAGTGAACGTGCAAATTCACTCCCTGACATTAGATGGCGCTTAATGAAAAACAGAAATACACATCGAATCCTATTTGATCTGCAATTCCTCTCCATAACAACTCCCTCTTATCGAGATTTTTGTAGTCACTGTCGCGTTTGTCATAAAGCCATAAAGCCCTACATTCATCTTGCCTCGATGCATCTTCTTGGTCTATTTACTTCCTCTTCGTCGTTAGGTATCAATGTGTGCTCGGCAAGACCGTTTTGTGCTTGAGCGCCACCAAGTCGTGTTTTACTGTAACTTCAGCAGCTCCAGGCACGTGAACAAAAGCGGCAATTATACTGTACGTATGGCTACTGTGTAAAAATGTTTTTTTTTAGTGAAAATTTGATGTGTCAAGCCCTTTCCACATTTCTGGGGTTCTCATAAGCAGACCAAATGTGACACACAGCCCCTTTCATAAAGATTTATTCCACAGGTCTGTCATAATCAGGCAAATATACATTAACATACAGAATATCGTCCCCTCTTCTGATGCTTCTCACATTAAATAACGCAATAATTCAAGACACACGTCTACTTAAAAGAACAATAACAATACATCATAACAACAACAATAACAATAATAATTAATATCATAATGACAGCCAAACATCGTGTATTTCCAAGTTGTATCTTTCTACAATTCATCATATAGTGACTCTTTTAAGGTGCACCACATAACTGGCAAGTGACTTTTTAAAGAAACTCGACAATTTTGCACCATGACACACAGTGAAATAGACAGAGACTTCTTGCAAACGTTTTATATGTATATAAGTGTCTTTTTAAGGTTCTCCTCTACTTTCTCAAAGTGCTTCCGCAGAAATCAGCGGTGTCTGTCTTGCTGTGTTTCTAAAGTTAAAGCAGTCTGTTTGTTGGTTTGGCACACATCGGGGTGGAAGCAGTGGTAGCATAAGGCTTCTCTTCTCTTACAGAAGGCTCTGCTCTCTCACAGGACCTCTGCAGGGAAAACAAGACAGAGGCAAACGCGTATAAAGAGTTTGATTGAGCCTTTAAAATTTTGTTCACCTAGAACATCCACGTCGTACCATGCAACTGAAATAGAAGTGATTGACACTGTCAAGCTCCCAAAAATGACAAAATAACAAAATCTTCTTTGCACAAAGCTACCACATGGCTTTAAAGACAAAGAAATGGAAATCATTGTTCATTTTCATGCAGAAAAGAGAAGCTTGGAGATTCTACTAACCATTGGATCAATATGAGGTAAATGATGACAGAATTGTTATTTTTAGGTGAACTATTCCTTATAATCACTCATTAGCCGATGAAACTATAACAGCAGTAAATTTCAGCTTTATATGGATAATACTTTAATAAATATGCTTCTAACAAGCATGTTGTATATGCTATATTACCAGTATCAGGGTATCTGCATGTTTAAGGGAATGAAGACATTTTAAGACTTTAAATGTATTTTTTACTATAATTAAAAATAATAATTAAACAATAAAACAAAATGTTGTCAATTAATATTAATAATATTAATTTTAATATTAATAATTTAATATTAATAATTTTAATATTAATGACAATTAATAATATATGCAATTTATTCACTATATTTTTCATATATTTTTCACTATATTATTTACTAAAATACAATCATATAAAATAAAATGATATAAGTGGTTTAAAAACTCCATACAAATATATACAGACACTTGCTATGACCTTATATTTTTAAAGATATTTATTCACTAAAATATAATCATATAAAATAAAATTCTATAAAGTTACAAAAAAAAAATCCATACATTTATCTATAGATACTTGTTATGACCTTGTATGTTGAGAAAATTAAAGACATTTTAAAGCTTTTTACCAGTATCAGTGTATCTGTGTGTTTACGGGAATTAAATGTAAGACTTTTGTAGTGCATTTGAATTAAATCTAAACTTTATGTAAAAAAAAAAAAACTGCTTTATGATGTATGCAGCCTACAAATGCGACCTCCGGAGGATGCAGCCTTCCATTTGAGAAACGGCCTAAAGCCTCGTACACACCGGGACGATTATCGCGCGTGCTTATCGCTAACGTTTTTCGACGCGTCTTTTGTGTTCATACCCAAGCGATTTTCGCAGGTGATGAGCCGAGTGAACGTGCAAATTCACTTCCTGACATTAGATGGTGCTTAATGAAAAACAGAAATACCCCGGTACACATCGAATCCTATTTGATCTGCAATTCCTCTCCATAACAACTCCCTCTTATCGAGATTTTTGTAGTCACTGTCGCATTTGTCATAAAGCCCTTTGTGTGCAGACACCAATGAGACCAGCAGCTCTACATTCATCTTGCCTCGATGCATCTCCTTGGTCTACTTACTTCCTCTTTGTCGTTAGGTATCAATGTGTGCTCGGCAAGACCGTTTTGTGCTTGAGCGCCACCAAGTCGTGTTTTACTGTAACTTCAGCAGCTCCAGGCACGTGAACAAAAGCGGCAATCTCATTGGTCGGCCAGTTTTTAACGCGGCGCATCAAACTAAAAAAACGAGCCCGAGGCGTTTTTAAAAAAATTACGCTTTTACGCCTCACGTTTTGCGCGTCGGTGTGCACACTCACATTGGCGCCCTTTGTTTAGTCACGAGGCTTTAAATGTCGGCGATAATCGCGCGTGATATTCGTCCCGGTGTGAACAAGCCTTAACATCGCATGCACACTACAAATCGGTTTTTACCGCTGTCAGAGACTCTGCCGTTCACTTGAGCTGGAGTCTTAACGTCTTTCTGCAAAGAAACAAATAAAGCAAGTTCATTTTCCTTTCTCTGTGTGTGTGAAATTAATTCAGACTCAATAAAAACACAGATGTGTCCCACCTGTCCTCCTGCATCACTCTTACGAGTCCTTTTCATGATTTCTTCCAGACGCTAGAAAGGTGAACACAGATGTTAGTCAACCCCACAGGAATGGATTAATGTCTCATGTGTTTCTCCTAGAAAACAATTATATTCTTTTTTTTCTCAGTAAATGCATTTGAGAGCCTCTTGTTTTACCTTCTTTCTCTCCAGACGCTCCTGTTCCTCCTTCTGGAAGTGTTTCTCTCTTTCTGTCCTCTGTCTCTCTGCTTCCTCTCGGGCTTTGGAATCGGCCTCCTCTCGCTGGAAAAGACACATGAAACATCATTACCCATATATCCATTATACATCTCTAAATTACCCATAAGCCCTACGACATGACATCAAGAGCTGGTAATGAGGCAACATCAGTGCTTTTATCATTAACAAAAACTAAAACGAAAATTAAAACTGTTAAAATTGTTTTCAATAAATGTTGACTATACTAAAAGCTGAAATAAAATATAAATATTAGATGAAATATCCAAAATTAAGAAACTTTGAAATATTGCCATGGTAGCTAACAGAAATAAGCTGAAGTGTTAAAATTGCTTTAAAAAACTAAAACATAGGAGTATAAAAATCTAATAAAAAATGACAAAAAACACATAAATTATTAAAATGACTTAAACGAAATTAAAACTAACTCAAACTAAAATTTAAACTAAAATTAAAATGAAAACTGAAAATAAATAAATAATAGATCAAATTAAACTTGAAGCACTAAAAGTTGAAGCACTAAATTACTGGAAAAAAAATATGCAGAAATATTTATAACAAATACAAAAATGACAAAAGCATAGCAAAATTACTGAAATGTTCAACTACAACTAAAATTAAAAATTAAAATTAAAAATATAAAAATAAAAGCTATTTCAAAATATTAATAAATACTTTAATAGTATATAAATAATACTAAAATAACATAATGATCACATTAATAGTTGGCCAAGTAATGAATTGAATTTAAGGCTGACATGTAAAAAAAAAATAAAAGGTCTGCAACTTCACTGTTTTGAACGAACAGAATGTGTTTTAATTTCACTCCTCCACCACAAGGGGGAGGCAGCGGCCAAAAATGCCCTCTATTTGATTCATTTTAATATTCCTCACCTAAACACAGTATCTTTCAACTGCATATCAGAAAATGATATGCATACTGAATCATAGGTATAAATGCATTGCAAAAATGCTTTAGTTTAATCCTATAAAGCCAGATGTGGCATCAAGTTCAATCTGTTTATGTATATCTGTGTCCTCCGTCACAGTTTAGATCTTGAGAAAATCCTTTTTGATGCTACTCAGACACCACAGATGTGTTTTGTACGTCCAGAGAGCCACAGACAGACCCATTAGGCCTGTCCTGCATGATCAAATCAGACCAGAACACAGGCTTGGTCTCAGACGGGCTCTGTGTGAAGGGCAGCAGATGAGAGTCGCCCGGAGGCTCACGTGACGTCACAGATCTGAACCGCAGGAGACTCAAGCTAATGCCCTTTTGTCTGCCTGTGCCTCGGTCACCTTGATGCCATGAAGGTGTTTTGTATTAAAATGACTTTACTGAAGACAGATTTTTGGGTATGGATTTTAAAATAGTTCGGTAGTAGGAGCAAAACAAAGCTGATGTGAGCAAATTTGTCGATTCTGAATCAATATTATACAACACAAATAAATGTATACTAAAACATATGCCACAAATATATCATTTAAATTAATATTATTTAAGCCACTGAAAGTGGATACTAACAGAAGCTTGGCAAGTTTGTCCTAATGGTCTCGATTACCCATGAAGCGCTGCTCACCTGTCTCTGCAGACGCAGGTTTTCCTCCTGCTCGGCTCGTGCTCTCTCCTGCGCCTCCCTCTCCTCCTGCAGACGCTGCTGCTCTGCCATGAAGCGCACCTCCTCTTCCCTGTGCCTCCTCTCCTCCTCCTCACGTCTGGCGTGCTCCTCACGCAGTGCTCTGAATGAAGATGAGGCAGTGTAAACATCAAGAGAGTTACGACTAGTCACTCTCAGTCAACACTTCTAAATCTAAATCTAAAAAAAAAATGAAATGAAATATAATGTAAAAAAATGTAAACTTATTTTATGTCAGCTAGCAACATTTCTCATGTTCATTTAGTTTCATGTAATGTACTAAAAACTAAAACTGAAATAAACTAAACTACAGTATAAAGATCATATGTGACCCTGGACCACAAAACCAGTCTTAAGTCGCTGGGGTATATTTGTAGCAATAGCCAAAAAAAACAAAAATGCTTTAGTTTAATCCTATAAAGCCAGATGTGGCATCAAGTTCAATCTGTTTATGTATATCTGTGTCCTCCGTCACAGTTTAGATCTTGAGAAAATCCTTTTTGATGCTACTCAGACACCACAGATGTGTTTTGTACGTCCAGAGAGCCACAGACAGACCCATTAGGCCTGTCCTGCATGATCAAATCAGACCAGAACACAGGCTTGGTCTCAGACGGGCTCTGTGTGAAGGGCAGCAGATGAGAGTCGCCCGGAGGCTCACGTGACGTCACAGATCTGAACCGCAGGAGACTCAAGCTAATGCCCTTTTGTCTGCCTGTGCCTCGGTCACCTTGATGCCATGAAGGTGTTTTGTATTAAAATGACTTTACTGAAGACAGATTTTTGGGTATGGATTTTAAAATAGTTCGGTAGTAGGAGCAAAACAAAGCTGATGTGAGCAAATTTGTCGATTCTGAATCAATATTATACAACACAAATAAATGTATACTAAAACATATGCCACAAATATATCATTTAAATTAATATTATTTAAGCCACTGAAAGTGGATACTAACAGAAGCTTGGCAAGTTTGTCCTAATGGTCTCGATTACCCATGAAGCGCTGCTCACCTGTCTCTGCAGACGCAGGTTTTCCTCCTGCTCGGCTCGTGCTCTCTCCTGCGCCTCCCTCTCCTCCTGCAGACGCTGCTGCTCTGCCATGAAGCGCACCTCCTCTTCCCTGTGCCTCCTCTCCTCCTCCTCACGTCTGGCGTGCTCCTCACGCAGTGCTCTGAATGAAGATGAGGCAGTGTAAACATCAAGAGAGTTACGACTAGTCACTCTCAGTCAACACTTCTAAATCTAAATCTAAAAAAAAAATGAAATGAAATATAATGTAAAAAAATGTAAACTTATTTTATGTCAGCTAGCAACATTTCTCATGTTCATTTAGTTTCATGTAATGTACTAAAAACTAAAACTGAAATAAACTAAACTACAGTATAAAGATCATATGTGACCCTGGACCACAAAACCAGTCTTAAGTCGCTGGGGTATATTTGTAGCAATAGCCAAAAAAAAAAATCATTGTATGGTCAAAATTATCGATTTTTCCTTTATGCCAAAAATCATTAGGATATTAAGTAAAGATCATGTTCCATGAAGATATTTTGTACATTTCTTACCGTAAATATATCAAAACTTAATTTTTGATTAGTAATATGCATTGCTAAGAACTTCATTTGGACAACTGTAAAGGCGATTTTCTCAATATTTAGATTTTTTTGCACCCTCAGATTCCAGATATTCAAATAGTTGTATCTCGACCAAATATTGTCCGATCCTAACAACCATACACCAATGGAGAGCTTATTTATTCAGGTTTCAGATGTATAAATCTCAATTTCGAAAAATTGACACTTACGACTGGTTTTGTGGTCCAGGGTCACATATTTCACAAATGACAATGATAAAAACACAAAATTTACTAAAACTAAACTGTACTACAACTTTAACTAAAATTAAAATTTACAGAACAGAAAATATCAAACTAAAAACTAATTCAAAATATTAATAAATATCATAATAGTATTTCAATGATACTAAAATATCACTGCTCAGAGGGAACACCTATGGATTGTTTGAGTCCTCTGATGAATGTAAAAGTCAGTTTGATAAATTATTAAATCAAAATATAAATGCATATTTAATACTAATATATATTTATTATATTTAATGATTTATGTAATTATAATCAGCTCTAAAATATTTCATCTGCTAGAATTTGCAGAGTGCAGAGTCTCTATAAAATTATTTTAAAAACTGTTATCTGATAATCATAAACAACTGGAAAGGTCCTGGAAATTCACTGTTTAAAAACGACAGAAACTCTGTAAAATTTATTTACATACTTTTATAGTTTGTAATGAATATTTTGAATGAGCGTTTAAGTTATATTTTCATTTTAGTTTAGTTTTAGAAATTTTGTTATGTGCTTTTGTCATTGTTGTTAGGGTTTTTTGTGTTACTATTTCTTTTGTTTTAATTTTAGGTTTTTATTCGGTTTTCGTTTTCATTTCCAGTAAGTACAGTAATATTAGTGCTTCAAGAAACTTATTTCAGTCAGTTGCAATAGCAGCAAATTTTTCATATTTTTCAAATATCACATATTTCACATTTTTCAAATATACAATATTTTCAAATATTCAGATTTTATTTCGTTTCAGCTTTATTTCGATTAACAAAAATGTTATTAATACTTTTAGTTTTGTTAACGATAATAACCCCGCTGTGATCATTTTAAATGTCAATCAAGCTTTTTCTTTCTAAGTGGGCAGTTCTTTGCAAAAGCTGGTCTATACAGTATGTTGGCTATGCAAGACTAAAGCAGTCTATAACCAACTAACCTGCTCTTCTGCTCCTGTTCTCGTCTCTCCTGCTCATCCCTCTCTCTCTGCTCACGGGCCTGACGTCTCTTCTCTGCTAGCACACGGGCTGCCTCCTCGGGATCACTGGTCCCAGCTGAGGGCTTGGCAATCGGAGGGCCGGGCTCAGGAGAGAGTGATCGGGAAGTTGTGGCTGCCACATTGGCTGCCTCTGGTGTCTGAGGAGCTGCAGTGATTGGTGCAGAGGGAGTGAGGGGCGTGGCCGGAGCAGACGAGACGGTGATGTCAGGAACACTGAGGGCAGCTAAACAGAAAAAAAACAGGAGAAAAGTCCATCAAGAAGAGTAAAAGCTTATGTTTCATTTATACATATTAAAGCTGTAAAAGTCCTTGAAAACCATTGAGCTGTCACACTGATTTATCTGAAAGCAAACGCCTCTCTGCGCCCGTCGTCATTGCGATCACACTCACTCTTTGTGTCCTTGGGAGGGTCAGCCTGACGGGGCTCCTTGGTTTCCACGGCAACAGCAGCAACGGCGGGGGGCTGCACGCGGACGGGAGTCTGAGCCCGTTTAGGCCGGGTCTTGGTGCCAGGAGGAGTCCGGCCTAAAGATGAGGGTGGTTTGGGGGACACCGCTGGATTGGGGGAGAGAGGGCGACTCCTGGGCGTCACAGGTGATGAAGCTCTGTTTTTAGCTTTGATATTTGGGCTAAAAAGAGACGAGAATTAAGAACACATCCCAGTATAAACCAAAACAAATTTGGTTTCAACACCAAAAAAAAAAAGAAGGATTTTATTTAGTATTTTTGTCTTGATTTCTATTAGGCCTACATTATTTTGATATTTTAAGTTTTCAATTTAATTTCCTTTTAATTTTTTAGTAATTTATTTATGTGCTTTTGTACATTTTTTAAATAAATAATTTGTAAATAAATTAAATTATTTATTTATTTTTAATTTGACTATTTAGCTTTAACTTAAACTTATTTTAGTTAGTTGCCAAGGCAACATTTCTCATTTTCATTTAGCTTAGTTTAGTTTTATTTCGTAGTTTGTTTAGGTGATGAAGCTGTGCTTTTATCTTTGATATTTGGGCTGGTTTTCTGGCGAGACTGAAAATATGACTTTAATTAGTACTTTTATCTAGATTTCCATTACATTATTTTGATATTTTCAGTTTTTAATTTAATTTCATTAGATTTTTTTTGTAATTTTGTAATGTGCTTTTGTCAAAACTTTTTTAATATTATTGTTTAGTTTTTTTTTCAGTTTTAGTTTAAATTCAGCTTAAGTTATTATTTAATTCTTTATTTATTTCCAATATAGATTTTCCACACAAAAAATAAATCAAGATTTACCTAACAATGAAAATTATTTAAGATATTTAGTCTTGCTTTCTTGAAAAAATTGATTAAAATTATGTGAGTTTAAGCTTAAACCAAGAAAAAATATCTGTATTTTTTTTCTCTTTGAATTAAGTTTATTTTTCTTAGCCCACTGACATGTATTTGTTCTTGTTTAAAGCATAAACTCACTAAAATTTTCAGAAAACAATACTTACTATAAATTACTAACCCTAAGCTGAAAAATAATAGTGATGCTTGCCTTAGCAATAATGTGAATATTGTCACAGTGAGGAAACTCACAATTATGCTGGAAAATTGGCGCCTGTTTAAGAAACAGTGTAAATAAGCAATCAGGCAAGACATGAACCGGCCATAATAAGAGTACAACCTAACTGCTATAATGGCTAATTTATCACTTTTTCCACAAAGCAACTGAACACAAAGGCCTAAAAAGAGCCAACAGCTTGCTAGAAAGCCTGCTGAGTTGGATCAGAGCCTCTCTTTGGCTCATGAGCGCACAGTAATTTAACCTGATGCAGCTTAAAGAGCATGTGCTGTGTGTGTGTGTGTGTGTGTGTGTGTGAGAGAGAGAGAGAGAGAGAGAGAGTCACCTGGCTTCTGTTTTCGTTCTGGTTATGGATTGGGACTGTCTCTTCTTCTCCACTTTTTCTTTAGACAGAGCGCTTTTCTCCTTTTCATTCTCTCGTTCTTTGTCTTTCTTTTCTTTCTTCTTCTTCTCAGACTAAAAGTAAACAGCGATGGATCATTTCAAAGTCAAATCATGACAAACAAGATTTTTGGTTAAGTAATTTAAAAGTTAAATTAATGCTTTTATTCAGTAAGGACACAAATGGATCAAAAGTGACACTAAAGACATTTATATTGTTACAAAATATTTTCTCAATATTACTGTTTTTACTATATAAAAACAATAAGAAATCAAACCACAAACTTTTGAACGGTAGTACATATTAGCATTATTATAAGAATAATTCTGCTTTTGTGAGTGAGTTGTTGTGTGCATGTATTTACCGGTGTAGAGTTGCGTCTCAGCTGGCGTTGTGTGATATCAGGTGTGCTGGCTGAGACCCTCCAGCGTTCAGCACTGTGCTGGTGAGGATGATGATGGGAGCAGGGCGTCAGAGGAGATACGGATGCAGAGCGGGAACACTGATCTGTATTCAGAATAAGAGATGTTTAGAGACACTCACTTGTTGTTGTTGTTGTTCAAAACACTACATACTGAATTCAGATCATACACTACTGTTCAAAAGTTTGGGGTTGATCTTTTTTCATGTTTCTGAAGAAAAACTCTTATGCTCAGCAAGGCTGCATTTATTTGATCAAAAATACCATAAAAACAGCAATATTGTGAAATATTATTACAATTCTAAATATCTGTTTTCTAATCTAAAAGATTTTAAAATACAATTTAATTTTGTGATGCAAAGCTGAATTTTCAGCATCATTACTCCAGTCTTCAGTGTCACATGATCCTTCAGAAATCATTCTAATATGCCGATTTGCAGCTCAAGAAACGTTTCTTATTATTATCAGTGTTTAAAAAAATCGTACTAACCCCAAACGTTTGAACAGCATTGTACATTCAGATGATCTGTTATATTCAGAGCAGTCTTCTAGCATACTACTGTATTTTCAGTATGCAGTATGTATAATGTGAGCAATGAGCATTAAGTAAAATTGCTATAAGCATGAACAAAACAAAAAAACAAAGCACCTTAAACAGGGTATAATATATTCCAATCTATTAAATGAACTACAAATTGTATTATTCTAGACTCGCTTTTAAAGTCAAGGCAGTTTTACACAAACCTGAATAAAAATACAAAATAAAATATTTCCAAAATGATAATTGGATATTGTATATATGCAAATACGAGGTCATGTGGCAACAATGTAGCATCTTACTGTTCAAAATATATAATGAACATAAAAGTGCATTCGGTTTTACAATAGTACATACTGTGCAATATGCAGTTAGTCTCAATTTCATCAAATAAAAATAGTACACACTATGCTCAAATAGAAAAATAGACACCAATTTGGATTTAAAATTGCTTCATGTTAATCTGAGGCTAATAAAATATACATAGAACAGACAAAGGAAGTTTATTTCAGCAGACAAGATAAACTGCTTGTTTTCTCTCAATGAGGCCCGTTTATGATGTGCACTGTAAAAAATGACCGTGAATTTAACGGTAAAAGACTGTAAAAATGCTACAGTAAAAGCTGCCGGTTTTTTACCGTAAATTTTACAGAATTTTTTTTACAGTGTGTGTTTAACACATTACATGGGTGTGCATGCATTATGTGGTGAGTATAACCATTATCTTAAACTCCTGACATGTTAAATGTGTGTGATGTGTAACTCACGGGGGTCGCTGCTGTTCTGGAGTGTTGCGACGCTCCGGCTGCGAGCCAGAAAGGAAAGGGTGGGTGTCATCAACCTCTCTACGATGCGGCTCTCCCACGGGCTCAGACGCAAACTGCGGGCTGACACAAGAGGGCGCTGTTAGCATCGACACATGTGGACACATACCGCACAGGTCACTCGACAAAGGGCCGAAGTAAGCGTTCATCCAATCGGCTGACTGCAACATCCAGTAACATGATGCCTGACCAATCAGAGCAGCTGTTACTGGAAGAAGAATCTTCAGGCCCTTCGTTGAGGACATGTTTGTGTACTTCTAATTCACATAACCTACACTATTGTGAATTATGATTGCTGTACTTATTTACACACACATTCACACACTCTATTTGCTTATTTGCTCATTGTAACTTCAAGGAAGTTGAAGTTTCAATTTAATTAGTGAATTTAACCAGTACTATTACTCATGCTGGTTAAATCAAGAATGCAGTAACTAAAGCATGTTAGACTTTGATGCTTTGTTGAACAAAGTTTGCTCTTTCTTAGCTCAGGAGATGTAATGGAGCTCTATTTTATGTTTCATTTAAGTATATTTCTCTTAAAATTTCTTGTGACAACTAAAAATCACAAATGAGTCAATCACTGACATACATGTAGAGTACAGAGTGATAATTTATATATACTACCATTCAAAAGATTGGGGTCAGTAAGAAATTAACACTTTTATTCAGCCAGGACACATTTAAATTTGTAGCATTTACATTTTTAGCATTCATCTACAAAAGATTTCTGTTTCAAAGAATCTCGAAGAAAATCTAAAATCTAAAAATATTAATCAGTGTTTAACTGTTTTCAGCATTGATAATAATAAGAAATATTTATTGAGCTGCAAATCAGCATATTATACTGATTTCTGAAGGATCATGTGACACTGAAGACTGGAGTAAGGATGCTGAAAATTCAGCTTTGCATCACAGAAATAAATTACTTTTTAAAATATATTCAAATAGAAAACAGTTATTTTAATTTGTAATAATATTTTACTGTTTTTGCTGTATTTCTGATCAAATAAATTCTTAATAAAGTCTTGATGAGCATAAGAGACGTCTTTCAAAAGCATTTAAAAAGCTGACCCCAAACTTCTAAACTGTGTAGATGGCAAGAAATATGATGAGACAACTATGAGTTCAAACTGAGATCTTTTGATCGCAAACTTTAGTAGTCGTGGCAAGGCTGAACATAGTTTGAGACATTATTGAGATCTAGAGGAGACAAATCTGAGCATTTTGCTCTCCATTTGATCTCATTGCTTTAGATATTTTAGAGACTTTTCTTTCCAATGAATGATTTAACTGCATGTCTAGACGAATAGCACTCTTATACCAGAATAAATGGTTCATGGGTTCAAAGACGGGTTAAAACTGGTTTTATTCTGGGAATTATGGGATGCTGTTTATTGTTAATAATCTGAGAGCACATTAAAATGAAGTCTGTGCTGTCACACAGATGACTGAATGACAGTTCTCTACAGACATGAGAAAAACAAGTTATGTGACGAAGAAATGAATCTGTGGTCTCGGTTTTCTCCCACGCTCCTTTGCTACAAACACACACATACACTCTCCCACTCAGGCACAAACAGGCACAAAAACACTCTGGATGTCGTATTTGCAATCACACAACATTAAAACGATACTGTGTAAAAACAGACCCTTGTGCTCTTTGTAGCAACAAGGTGGTGCTCAGATCTGACACTTTAGCAACACAAGAAAATTTACAACACATCGTGACGGCTGGTCACTGGCTGTTGCTAGGCAACAGCTGCTTTTTTTTTCTCCCCCACTGCGGCAAACTGTGCTGTTGCCTGAACTACTGTAACAGAAGGTTGATCACGATCTAGGATATAAACTCTTCCTTGGAAACTATCTTTATACTATATGTTCTAAAAACTGATACAGAATATGGTATTTCCAGGAAGCTCAAACCTCAAACAGTATAAGACATCATTTAAAATATGTTTAACCCAAATATTGTGTGTTTATATCTCAGCAAAAAGTGCACTTTGAGATGAGTGGTCATCTCTAATGACAGGAAAATAAGTACAGATCATGAGCTCCACAGTTACCATGCGGTACACAATGCTGTTATTATGTTGATTTATACACATCTGCATAGCCACAGTTTTGCTGACTTATCATTGGTATGTTCTGCTGCATGTGGATGTCAGCATTCTAGAAAACCCATTATTTCCTCAGACAGGAAACTTAAAATAAGGCTATGTTCAGAATAACTAGCATACTACTGCTATTTTTGCAGGTTCTAGTGTGTAAATTAGGGTTGGGCCGATAGACGATGCCATCGTCCATCGCCGATGGCTGACAGACATCACGATGTTGAGCCGGTGTGCCGAAGAAACATGCTACCTATCAGATTGTGCTACCCAAAATATATTTGTATTGTTTTAAGGGTAAGTTTAGGGTAAGGGTAGGTGTGGACGGGTAGGTTTAGGGTAGGGGTAGGTATGGACATTAAAAAAAGCCTAAAACCACATGAATAAGATGCTGGTAGCACAATCTGATAGGTAGCATTTTTCGCTATCGATTTGTGCTACCTATCTTTTTAATGGGAGGTAGCACAATCTGAGCGGGTAGCACAAATCGTCAGAACACCGGCATCGTGATCTCTACCAATGTTGTTCTATCAGTCTTCTCTCCTTACTCTGTGTATGTGTTAAGTGGACTTTCATGTACTGTAATGTAACAGTCTACCGCTAGCAAGCGGCTAACCATGTCCCTTTAGTGGCTCCGTAGAACGTCTTATTTGTTTTCCGTGCCTTTCTGCATACGGATTCACGCTTCAGGCACACCCCCTAACCCCGCCCCCCCATTGTCATCGTCCATCACGATGTTTCACTGTAGACATCGTCCGAAGCCAATTTGGTAGACATCGCCCAACCCTAGTGTAAATTATGCATATAGAGTATCAGGATGGCATACTAACCTTTGCTGTGTAGAGCATATGAGAGAGAATACTAATAACTGTATCTCACAATGTAATGTGCTCAAACTGATTTTCCATTTCTATGATGAATCTTATGGTTTTTGACCTCTTGTCTTTAATTTGACAGACAAGAAAAATGTGGAAAATAACTTTTTATTTCCAATGACTGGACACCACTTGTGGAAATAAACATACACGTACTGTTAAAAATATGGCATACTCCTGTTTGAAGTGTTTAGCACTGCATAACACTAAACTGTACTATTTCACATACTACTTAAAAATAGAGTGTAGTATACAGTGGGACTGGGAGCTGAGAATCAGTTCTTAAGCAGAATTATCAGCATTTGTTTAAAAAATAAAGGAACTGAATGATGTATAACATTTGGTAGCATTAATTGTACATGATTAGTGCTTCTTTCATACTAAACACCTTACTTAAATATTCTGGCAGTGCTTTTGATTTGTTAGTGAATTGTTTTTGAAACTTTTTTGTTTTTGTATATACACTACAGTTCAAAAGTTTCTGATCAGTAAGATTTTCATTTTTAAAAAGAAATTAAGAGTTTTATACAGCAAGGATTCATTAAATTGATCAAAGTGACAGTAAAGACATTTATAATGTTACAAAATATTTTTTATTTCAAATAAATGCTGTTCTTTTGAACTTTTTATTCATCAAAGAATTTTGAAAAAATGTATCATAGTTTCAACAAAATTCTTAAGCAGCACAATATTATGGCATACTGAAAATTCAGCGTTACCATCATAGGAATAAATGACCTTTTTCATTGTAATAATATTTCAAAATATTACTGTTTTTACTGTATTTTTGATCAAATAAATGCAGCCTTGGTGAGCAGAAGAGACTTTCGAAAACATTTAAAAAATCATACTGACCCCAAAATTTTGAACAATAGTCTAGTTAGGACATATTATTGCACAAACCCCCCTTAAAAATAGCAAAAGAATCATTAAAAGAACTGCTAAGTGATCAGAAAGTTTCCATCCTTAGCATACAGTTTATAATGAGCAGTATACGGTAAGCAGTATGCAAGTATTCCATTCTGAACATAGCCGGATACATTCCTCAACATCACTTATTTATATTAATAATTAATCAACCAATTAAAATGATCACATTGATCACATTAATGATTCATGATTAACGATCACATGATCACATTAATGCAGCACATATTTTATTACATCTCCTAACTTAGTTATCAGTCCTTTGTTTTGTTATCACTGATCAACAATCAGCCTTTCAAATCACACACTTAAGGTAAAAACCAACCACCAGCACCACAGACCCACACCAAAGACTGAAAGTGATGACGGGAACACAAAAATAAGAAAAAAAGCAAAGAAATAAAAAGAGATATTGCCACCACTTACTGGACCACAGATAAATAACCATTACAGACTATGAAGCAACAATGTGAGCACTGATCAAAAAGTGCACGGAAGAAGAGATTGACCACGATGCAACACAAGAACGAGGGGGTTGTGGGGTGGGGAAGTGAATAAGAAAGGTGTGAGAATGACCATCGATCACCAGGCACAGGCACAGGCAAGCAGGCCACCAGAAATGAGCAAATCAAAAGCAGTTCATGGGAAAACACAACTGAAGAACCAAAAACCAGACGAGGGTTTGGAGGGAGGGATTTTTGGAGGTGAAACGCGGGAGCCGCTCCATTCTTACTTCTGCAGGGCGAGTTCCAGAGCGTGGCCGAGGACTTGGACAGCCTGTTGTTAATCACAGGCTCCGTCTGCCGCGGCAGGTTGACCGTGGAGGCCGAGCATCTGCCTGCAGAGCGCAACACAGAGAGCAGAGCGTTCATACTGACCCCGTGAGCGACGGCAGGAGGGAGTGCGATTCTGGTTTTCCCAAAGGAAGGGTCATGCAGACTTTCAGAGGGAGAGCTGGAGGAGGCGGGTCACTCTTACATCAACTTGTGATCATGTAGGATGATCGTACATTTAGGATGTACATTAAATTCCATGTAATGCTAACACCATTTTTAAAGGTACATGAACGCTGACCAGAACATTACCATTCAAAAGTTTCGGGTTTGATTTTCATGTCTCTTATGCTCACCAAGCCCGCATTTATTTAATCAAAAATGCAGTAAAAACATTAAAATTGTGAAATATTATTACAATTTAAAATAACAGTTTTCTCTGAATATATTTTAAAATGTAATTTATTCCTGTGATGCAAAGCTGAAATTTCAGCATCATTACTCCAATGCCATATGATCCTTCAGAAATCATTCAAATACGCTGATTTGCTGCTTAAGAAATATTTCTTTTTATCACTGTTGATAACTGATGCTATACTTAATTTTTATGGAAACTTTTTTGTAATTTTTCTAACATTATATACGTCTTTACTGTCACTTTTGATTGCTTCAATGCATCCTGGCTGAATAAAAGTATACATTTCTTTAAAAAAAAAATCTTTATGACCCCAAACTTTTGAATGGCATTGAATATCTAGATAAATCAGCACTATCCTACTGAGAAGACCAGCATTATCTCCAGCATGTGATGTCTTATGGATGATGGTTTCTAGCATGGCATGCTGTGTCCACATCAGGTTTCTTAACTAGCTTAACCATAAAAACCATGCTGGTCATCCATCATTAGCAACGCCAAACAGCAAACCAGACTTTCATACTGGTCTGATCTGGTCTTTTCAAAAGGGTAGGACTAAGTGATGCAACATAACATCATTGGTCACTTCAGACACTTATAAGGAAAAGAATAGACTTCTTATCTTTATGTTCTAATCAATCAATGTCATACATACAGCAGACATATCAACACCCATCACTGTGTCTTAAAGGGATAGTTCACCCAAAAATACAAATTCTGTCCCTCATTTCATTCCAAACCTGTATCACTTTCTTTCTTCTGCGGAACACAAAATAATTGTTTGGAGAATGATCTCAGTGTTCTTTTGTCCATGCAACGAAAGTCAATGGTCACCGAATCTGTTTGATTAACATTTTTCAAAATATCTTCTTTTGTGTTCCACAGAAGAAAGTCACACAGGTTTGGAACAACATAAGCGGGAGTAAACGATGACAGAATTTTCATTTTTTTTGGTGTACTTTACCTTTAAAATTCCATCATAGCATCTCTTTTAACCTCTTTGGTCTAATAATACGGAAAAAAGTCACACCTTAACAATATCACAGTCCTCTATCTACATACATCCAGCACAGCTACTACAACACCAGACTAAAAAAAATTGGTTTTAAAGAATAAAAACATACAAAAACCAAAGAAAAACAAAAATAAACCATAGAAATGATGTTGATGCCAATGATTATCAAGCTTTTTGGTGGCGAAACCATCGTAAGATGGTTTTCTTCCCTCACATTTTGATGACAAGATTAACTTAAAGCGGATCAACAAAATCATAACCAGAGGGTGACACCTATTACTCATCTACAGCAGTAAAATCTCAGCGCTGAAAACATACTGACCGCTTTAACTCATCCGTATGGACACAGAACAAACTCTGCTGAAGTCAAATTCAATGTTGTGTCAACATAAGAAATTTCCAGGTTTATATCAGGTTCCCTTTACGTTCCTTAATATAGTTTCAGAAGGTAATGATAACTCCAGTTCTTATTTTAAAGTTGTTTGAGGCTGGAAAGTTTGACTAATGACACTTACTCTCTCTGCGGGAGGTCTGGTTCAAGCCGCCAGCCCATGACCACCTCTGCTGACGGATCTCAGCCCACGTTTTTTTGGTTGACCTCTTTATGGCGGATTTGTACCTCTCCTGCAGAAAAAAAAGACAATCACAAGACCACTTGTGGTTCATTTTTTATCGTAATAAGATTCTGAATCACTTATATTAATAGAACAGGAATTCATTTAGTAGTTAATTTGTAGTTCATCAGATTTTAACTATAAACATAATTCATTTGACAATCAGAAAGCCTCACAACCCTTTTCATCTTCATTTTTAGCAGTATATGCTACTGTTCAAAAATTTGTGGTCGGTTAGATTTTTTGATGTTTTTGAAATAAGTCTCTTATGCTCACAAAGTCTGCATTTATTTGATCAAAAATACAGTAAAACATTAATATTATTACAAAAATATTACAATTTAAAATGCCTGTTTTCTATTTTAATATATCGCCGTCACGTAAAGCATCATTACTCCAGTCTTCAGAGTCACATGATCCTTCAGAAATCATTCTAATATGCTGATTTGCACCTCAAGAATCATTTCTTATTATTATCAGTGTTGAAAACAGTTGTGGTGCTTGACCAATTTAATGCATCTTTGTTGAATATAAGTATAATTTTCTTAAAAAATAAATTAAATTATAAATAAAATAAAGTAAACAAACAAAAAAAATCTTACTGACCCCAAACTTTTGAATGAATATTATGAATATTTTATGAATATTGCTTTATAATTTTAAACTTAACAGGTTAGTTCACCCAAAAATGAAAATTAGGCTGTGTTTTACTCACCCCAGAGTCATCCTAGGTATATATGACTTTCTTCTTTCAGACGAATCCAGTCGGAGTTATATTAAAAATCGTCTTTGATCTTTCAAGCTGTTTAATGGCACTCAGCGGGTGTTGCATGCATCAGTCCAAAAGAAGTTAAATAAAAATCGCACATCCATTAAAAAAAAGCCTCTCACACGGCTCCGGGGGGTGAACAAAGGCTTTCTGTAGCGAATCGATGCGTTTTTGTAAGAAAAATATCCATATTCAAAACGTAATAATCACTTTAATTTGATTCGCTGACTGTTGTACATGGAAGCAGTTCCGGGAGGATGACGTATGAGGTCAGCGCTGCGCATGCGCCGGTGAGTCTCGTGAAAACCAACGTTTGTTAACATGAGCAAAGGAAGCAAAGTTTCCTTACTTTAGCAAAGGAAAACCAGTCTCCTCTTGGCTTATATCGAAATCCTCCGACATTCTTCTTTACAAATCCTCGTTTTGTACTTCTAATAAGTGAC